CTCCATTCAAATGTTAATATTTTTCACATTTCGTTTGGATCGATCCCGTTATTTACATGTTCCAGGAGCCTTCTTTTCATTTCAGATGTCATAGGGATTTTTCATAATGCTTACAGATAGACCAGGAGTCCCCAGTAAGCTACAGACTCCATTTGGGAGAGTGAAATAAAGATAAATATTACGACACAAAAATACAACTATGGTTTTAGGAAAAACATATACAGAGACGCACGTTTGATAACAAGGTAAAAAGAGGAAAATTGCTTAACATTCTAATTAGCCTTGTTGGGTCGATTATTATTATTTATTTATTTTTATATATTTTTTGCTATTCTAAATGACGCAGATTTCAGATCCTGGTTCTTAGGTATCATTTCAGTTTTATATCCTAATGTTTGTTAATATGAAATTCACCTGACATCAGGATGCGCTGTTTTATAACTTAATTGGTCCCAATAATTAAAACTCCCCTTGTGGTAGCTTGAGTTGTTAAAGTTACCTCACCAGCATAAAAGGCACGCGATGCAATAAATAGAGGCATTTTTGAAGTCATGTTTTTTATTTTTTGTTTGTTAATTGGACACAAAGTAACAATAAACAATACATGGAACAAATCATTTTTATTTTCATGAAATTATTTTAATTGAAAAGATTATGCATGAAAGATGTACAAATAAGAAGCGAAGAAAATCAGTATCACCAAATCCTTCTCGTTGCCCTCCTCTCCACTATGACAAAAAGAAAGGGTAGTTGAAAGAATGCAAAAAAAAAAAAGATTCCTGTATAACTTTAAAATAGTCTTGTTATGCAACAAATATTTGGATGCAATAGATGATCAAATCAGGTGGTCTCGACACGTCTTTCAATTTATTTATTTTTTTAACCTTCAACAATCTGATAGTAATTATTAAAGAAGATCGCCACGTGAAATTATTTATATCTTGACATTAAAGTGCATTAAATACATTCTTGGCCAAAATGTTTGCAAACTGTTCTATATTGATATTATTACCTACACGTATGGAGTAGTACTCTTAAGTCCTGGAAAAAAGTTCTTAGCTATAAAACTTTGAAACTTGGTAATTATATATAATCTACCTGTATAAAGACTTTTTAAAATTCAGTCACAAAATATACTTTAGGAATTCAGAAAGTTACAAAAGAAATGTTCAATTTTTTAATTCTGCAGCACCGCCTCACCCTAAATAATTTACGAATGGATATTTGGTGTGGTTGTTTATTATTAAGCACAAAGCTACACAAAGGCTATCTGTGCTCTGCCTACCACGGGTATCGAAACTCGGTTTCTAGCAGTATAAGTCCTCAGACATACCGCTGTGTCACTGGGGGCATTTAGCGTTATAAATTATGTGTGAGTAACTGTTTCCTTTATGTAAAAGCAGAAGTTTTCCCAACAAAGGTCATTTCATAACTTGATTTTGAGCAATTAAGATAAAAATTCAGAAATCGTTTGTCTAAACTTTTCAGTATAAGAATAAAGGTTTCAATGTACCGTCTCATCGAATAAAGAGGCTCTATCTTTGTTATCGACTAACGGAAGTGATACTATCTCTAAAGTTGTCAACAGGTGGGGCTATTTGCGCTAGACTCCAGACAATTAGATAAATTGTTATCATTGAGGTGTGTAGTACTTTAAGGTCTGACATGTCATTACACCTTTAGTTTTCTTGCTTTTTAGGACAATTTAGTCGATCGTTCCTTCAGCTTTATGATATTCCGTGTTCGTTAACCCTAGAATACTTGTTCTTGATCTTCGGGTCGATGTTAGAAGGCACGTGCAGTAAATGTTTTCTTTATTACTTTTCGCCCTTTAGGGACTATCGGTTATTGTTTCTATACTTACCTTATACAGCCAGGTGCTCGTTTGTCGTACACAAAGCATCGTAACTCTTCACTTGAAAGCACACTTTGTTAGAAAAGACAAAAGAAATGTCATTTCCTCTGTCTTATAAAAGCAAAACGTGCTCCATCCAGGAGCTGCTGGAGTTCAAACTGGCTACTGTAGAGAAAGCTGTGGAGATATATTGATAATGCACGAGTAATCTAATCAGATGGTCAAATATTGACTAAAGTTCTCCATAATAATGAATCAGTGGCTAGCGTATTAACAGCATCGAATATTTTTGATTTCAAAGAACAGTAAACAACCGCTTTAAGAAAAATTTTAAATATCAAAAGAACCAGTTAAATGTGTCCTTATTCACAATCTTCATATATAACAATTTATATATTCCTGTACAGTTGTTTAGGCAATCCGCATAATAATACTTGGATTGTGTAAGTAGCTAAAAGTAAGTATCATGTTTTATGCAAAAAATAATAGCATGGGTTGTTCGTTCTTGTTAAATACGAACAATGATAAAGGATCACGATCTGCTATGTCTTCCATGTAAATACTGATCCTCTCTCGTGCTGCACAAACAAACATAATATGATGTACCTTTCGTGCAGCACAAAGAAACTGGAGCCTGTCACAGTGTACTTCACGACGTATATTTCTTCCAAGTACAACATTAATCAGTCAGTTTGTAGTTATTTTGCCTCTTAACCAAGCGACAGATCTGTGTGTATATAATTTTAAAGCTACATTTGTGGCAAGGAGAGTTAAAATGTTAAAAAATCATAATTATGTAAACTTATAATTATACGTCATTAGAATTGGATCGAGCTTCTGAAAGAAGTTGCTATATTGGTACAGCTTTACGATAGATTACAAGGCGTGCCACTAGGTGTGACAGTGCTATATTATATACATGTGTGTGTGTGTATATGTAGCTAAGACTATAGTTATTTTGAACGTAAAGCATTTTTATCTTCCTTTTGTTTGTTTGTTCATTGTTTAGTGCAAAACTACACAAAGGGTTATCTGTGCTTTGCACCCTGCAAAGATCGAACCCCAAATGTTAGCGTTTTAGTGCCACAGAGAGATTTTATCTACCAAATATACCAACTGTATAAGAGAACAGTAACGTATCATTATCTTCACGAACATCCTTAGAAGACAGACATAACGTTTTGTATTTGACTAATATATCGATAAGCTGACAGATGTTCTAAAGAATGATTATTGAATGAATTACAATTTTTTGGCTCTTCTTGTTTTGATATATATTCATTTTATTAAATTTCGTTCTAAACCTTTGTAGAATTTATGTCTTTCTTCACCTCTGTATATTTTATATACACTTTTCTCCATATGAAAACATGTATTGTTTGTTGCTTATATATGTATATCTCTGTGTGTGTGTGTGTGTACTGCATGCGTATATTGTATGGAAATATTTCAGATCGCTGATGATGGAAGAATTTAAATTCGGAAATCTCTAGTTTTGCTGGTTGTATGTAACAGTAAAGATATGCGTGTTATAATTACGTGCTCATTCCTTCTTTACACAATATGGACACACTTCTTTTGTTCAAGGAATGAAATAGCATACACGTTAGCTATGTGATAATAATTATTTTCTTCCTTAAATCTTTGAGACCACCAGCCAATATATAAGGATCAAAATTTTGAATTTTATTTTTTCTGAGCTGGAGTGACAGTGTTGGCTTTAGTTTCTTTATCGCCAAACATTTTATTTTTACATTTTGTCATTATTTTTTTCATCGCTAGTTTCTACACATTCCTGATCTAGATATCTGTGGATATTTGAAGATTTACCAATATTATGCTTCACCTATTTTTTTTATACGCTGTGTTCTAAAGGACTCGTGTTTGTTGGCCCCACGTACTCTCGTCCTCATCGAGAACAAACGATAAACAACATAAGAGCTTTGAAGTTTGTTAGGCCCGGCATGGCCAGGTGGTTAAGGACCTCGACTCGCAATATGCGGATCGCGGGTTCGAATCCCCGTCCCACCAAACATGCTCGCCCTTTCAGCCGTGGGGGCGTTATAATGTTACGATTATTGGTAAAAGAGTAGCCCAAGAGTAGGTGGTCGTACACTGCTAAGTTAGGAACGGCTAGAGCAGATAGCCCTCGTGTAGCTTTGTGCGAAAATTCAAAACAATTGAAGTTTGATAATTCTGTCCTTCATCTTGAAAAGGTTCTTAATACTGATACTATATACGATCAATTTTTTTTAAAGTTTGATTTTAAAATATAACTGTCTTTACACCTAAACGGAAAACTGACGTAAAGTAACAGATTGGGTGGATCTTAACTCATTTTACGAGGGATGTACATTACAATAAAAAATGTTTGCAAATGTTAAGTAATGACAGATGAAAAACCATTTCCTAACTTCACGTTTTTTGTTCGCTTTCTAAATTTTTATGAAAATAATAATGGTTACTTTCAACATAATAAGCTCTATAAAATAAGTTATATAGCGAATTGTCTTGTTACAAAATAGAAGGTTACGGTTTGAGTTTCTAAATTGTCGTAAAAGATTGAAATTGGCACCAGTTTCTTCTACTTTATACTTAAAACAAAAAATTAAAGAATAAAAAATACTATTACAGAGCGCTGACAGAAGATTCTGAGTAAAGTTTATAACTGTTATTGTTAATCATCTGAAGGTAATTCTTCAAACATCTGGAAGAGGAATGTATTGGAACTGCTGATGAAAGAACTTTTCCATAATATAGGGTTCCAGCAAAGAACAAGATGTGAGAATATACTTAAAAAAAGATATTCAAACCAACACTGAATTCTAATTCATCAACGATAGAAATTCTTCTAAAAATTGGGCGAAAGCATTTTTTTAAAATTCTATTTCGACTGATTGAACACATATAAAACACAAATGATATTAATCCCAACCACAGCTGACGATACCGGTTTTCAAATGTTTTTATACATGAACGATATGATCATAAGCTAACACCAACCACTGGTATTGGATAACTAACTTTCCGCTTTAGGTCAACTAACCGATGACGACAGCAGTCCTCTGTGATTGGTTGGCATTATCATGACGTCACGCCCCGTGTTTCTTACGCTAAATCAATGTTATATTGTTATGGGGACTAGACTAAAACCTGAAAGCTCGTGGAGGTGAAAACACACGAGCTTGTGCTCGATCAAGGAGAGGAAAGTTGGAAGAGTCAAGCTTGACATTTAGTCTGTCTTGTGGTTTTCGACATGGCATGGTCAGTTACAAAAGTTTTTAAGCAGTAATATTGTTAGTTAAACGCACTGTACTAATATTTGTTGTACTGTGGCCGACATCTAGAAATTACCGGTAAAGGACACGACCGAAAAGGCATTGACTTTTCTCGGCTAGGAACTTCGTACCAAACCTGTAACTACTGTAATACGCCATTTGTTATCATCACCAACACAAGGTAAGAGACCGCGTGTTTGTTTAGCATTTCTTAGTATTAAACATTAGTAGTACAGGTTCTCAGAACAGAGAACATTAAACTTGAAGGTTAGATGACTTTTATATATGAACAGTTGAAAATTAACGTGAAACGTCTCGCCAAATATCTGTTCGATATAAATGTAAACAGAGAGTAGATACGATTTTTTGCACGAACACAAGAGTAATAGACTTAATACATAAGCACTGTTGCTTAAAATATGACAGAAGAGTTTTGATAAAATGATGTATAAAAATGTTAGGGTTTGGTGTGGCAATTTCAAATATTTCTTCACATTAAAGTTTAAACGAAACTCAATCTTTGCGTTTGATAAACAATGACTGGAAAACCAAACGAGACTAAAATTATTAGATACTGGTAAAAAAAAACAAAAAAAACTGTTCATGACTTTGCAGTTAGCAACACAAGTGTATTATCGTAGGTTTCAATCTTTAATAGGTTCTGGAAAACATCTGCTCAGATTTTAGACATTAAGTAAGGTAGGAACTAATTAGTATTTTGAAGGGTGTTCCCCTCCCCCCAGAAGGTAAATTATCCTCCCTCTTTTTCGTCGATGAAGAACAACCTTCAATATTAATAATAGAAATAAATGACCTTAAAGGAACGCTTCTGAAGAAATTGTAAAGCAAAACGTTGAGTGTCTATTTGAATAAAAACAACAATTTGGTGTTATAAGGTCGTTTATTTCTAATATTCTATACACCAATATGCACCACAGAAATTAAATAATGAACCTTGCTATATTACTATCAGTATCAGAACTTACGATTGGTAATGTCTGTGAAACCTCGAAGTGCAAAGTTAATTATTCTTAGACTTCTGGAAGGCACGTTTTGTTCTAATGCATATGCGATAGAATCCATGTCCTAGCACGTTGTGTGTATCGATTCTTGAAAAATGGATTAACAAAGCGGAACTAACTTACTGCGTTACGGTATTTTACCCGAACGTATTTGATGTAAAAAATTTGATATTTTAAATAAATTAAACTAAAACGTAACATTTGTATACTTTGTAATCAGATAATACACTTCCTTTTTTTATGGTTTTAGTCTGGTGTTCAGAAGTTGCTCATAATACAGACAACACCGAATCTGTTTTGTAAAGTTTGTAGACTTTGCCTCAGCTTGACACAACAACATGCAGTTGTTTGTACACTCGTTTCCTTTTTAACCAATAACGTGTAGCTAAACACCTATCGGTTCTTGCCACGTTTCCTCGTTGTACTAAACCAGTACTGTAACAATGATTCAAATGTAATTTAATATAAATGATTTTATCTACGTTTCGAAGTAGTGAAAAACTAATGGTCAGTATGTACGTTCGTATTTATTTACACCTATCGACAACTTCTAAAGTCAGTAGAAGAACATAATACGTAAAAACAAAATTACATGAAAGTTGTGATATCACAATGTCACGTTAGGTTTTTGTATTATCGAACTAAGCCTTGTTTTCAATGTGATTTAATATTGTGTATGGACCAGATACAGTCCGTGGGCTATCACGTGTATGCTTTTGTTTTTGTCTGACATGTGTTGTGTAGGCTGTAAGTTGAAAATATTTAATTAATTGGATTAAAAAAAACTTCAGGATCTTGACCCAGAACATGACAAACCCAGACAGAACACTACTTCCAACCGCTAGATGTCTAATGCAACACTAGTTTTAGAGTAGAGTAAGGTGTTATTACAGAAAAATAATAACTTTTGAATGTTTCTCTAGGAATAAGAAACTTGTGCTGTGACGTTAATGGTTCACAAAATACTATTTTATTAGAAGTTACTGCCACTTTTAAAGTTCCAAGAACTATTACGTGTAAGTGAGTTCATGATGTTGTTTTTTCATGGTTTTTGTTACTTTTCTAACTCTCCTTACCTACTACCGTGACACTGAGGGCGCTTTCACCAAGGTTTCAAGTCCCACCGCACCTATCTAATCTACTATAATTTTCATAAGTATTTCTTTCAGGTTATTGTTCATTACAAACAACTGATAACAGGTTCCTTCTGAAAAGGCTTCCATAGACTCGGGGTGGTCTCGGGTCTACGTGAAAGAACTGAACATTTTGTTTTCATTCTTATGTTTCTTGAGCTTTTGATCTTAAATCATAATATTCGAATGACTCATTATACAATAAGTATCACCCCAATATCATTATTTATATTGCTCTATGTTACTCTAGAGCTTATCTTCACTAGATTTTTTTTAATCGGCGAGTTGGAATTAAGTCAATTAACAAACAGTTCTTAAATGCAGCTTTACAAAAGCTGCAATAGTAATAACCCAATTTATTTAATTCCCTCCATTGACCTGTTTAAGTTCTTATTTTAAGTTTTATTGTTTTTGATTTTGATAATATATTTTGACATAAATCTTGTTTCTGTTTTGTGCTTTAGTTTAATTTAGTAAATATGTAATTATCAACAGACACATTGAAAAAGCAAACTCTTTTAGATAACATTTTCAACCACGGACTGGATTTCTAGAAAATATACTATATTTGCTCTTTAAAAATAGATGGAGCAGAGAAAACAAGATCCGGTCTTAGTATCTCGAAAATGTTTTTATTGATTTCAAGGTAAAGACGTGAAATGGGAATTCGTTTTAACGTATCTGTAATAACTGATGTTTTGAAATTACCGGTTTCATAATAACGTATTATTTTTAATTACGGATTAATAGCGAACGTTCCGAATGATGTTTCTCTTGCTGCATATATTTAAAATCTGTATTTGATTATCTTGTTTTAGCGAGTATATATTTTAATTCTTATCATTTTTCAATAGCAGCCGATTTACTGACAACATCGTGTGACTTCGGGATCATTCTTTAGTTAACCTGTCAATCATTTTTATATAAACGTCCATGTTTTGCTCTATATAATAATCACTTGTCTTGACTTACAAACCCTAACATGTACACACGAACTCTAGTTGGTATGTTTCGGTAATCATGCTTAGCTTTACTCTTCACACGAACTCTAGTTGGTATGTTTCGGTAATCATGCTTAGCTTTACTCTTCACACGAACTCTAGTTGGTATGTTTCGGTGATCATGCTTAGCTTTACTCTTCACACGAACTCTAGTTGGTATGTTCGGTGATCGTGCTTAGCTTTACTCTTC